AAAGCCCGACTGCGTGATTAATAGGCTATTTTAAATCGAAAAGTCGCGCCAGTGCATGCAGATTTAGAGATCACTGTATCTGCGAGCCGCGAGAGGAGTGCAGGTGTGAACGTCACGCGTATCTGCTGGGATCGCACCTGGACGCGTCACTGGGATAAGTGTTGACCCCGCTGCTAGACCGACGCAAAGTGGGGCTGGACTTACGGTGGCCACGGGATGCTGAGGCCAAATGCCTTATGTCTACCTTGATCATTAAAGATCAGAAACTTAACAAAATCATTAAATGAACAACATCCATATGCTTTTATTTATAAGTTCTTAATAATCAAGGTCCACCATATCTTACTGATTTGAATCTACCCTACCAGCCTCCCCGCAGTCTTAGAACTTCCTCTAGTGGCTCACTCTTCATCCCTCCTTCCAAATTACATAGCTATGGTGACCGTGCATTATCCCGTTTAGCTCCCCGCCTTTGGAACTCACTACCTACTGCCATCCGTTTATCGACCTCTGTTTCAGATTTTAAAACCAAGCTAAAAACCTTTCTTTTTGCTAAGGCATTTAACCTTCCATATGCATAATGTGTAATCTGTTTTCTGTGTGCATTCGCTGTAAGGCGTCTTTGAGTTCTTGTAAAAGTGCTATATAAATAAATTGTATTATTATTAAGTTACTATTGGACTTTAAACATTCACCAGGACAAGCTTCCTAGTAGAGCAGTGAATGATAGAATGATCTCTGTGTCTCTGAAAGAAGTATTATGAGACTGAACACAGTGGATGCAGAAGAGTCTATGCACATTTTAAAACATCTATAAAGAACACCAGAACGGCAATTACCTTGGTTGACCGGTTGTTCATTTTAGGAGTGTCTACTGCTGGTCACGGTCCGGGAATTTTGTCTTAAATTAGGAAAGTCGTAGCAAAGTGAACAAGTCAAAGTTTCAACGAAGAAGTAAAAATCAAAAAATCAGACTCAATGCCGCTGTTAAAAATAATCACACCTCTGTGTGACCTGAGTTGCATGAATAACATGAAGGGATGATTGCTAATCTCAGAATAATAATGGAAGGAAATGATCACGATTCTGATTCGGTGAAATTGCTGCGGATTATAATATACATCCATTGATACCAATGTTATTGTTACTTATTTCTCAAAAGACACATCAAACAGGGAATGTGGGTAAAATTTGGTGTAATTTAGAGGTTTATGGCCCATTTTGGCCTTTAATTAACATATAATGATGCTTATTAGTCATCTCTTAATGAAATTTCTGCATTCATTTCATTGTGAATGGTTATAGATGACTGTTTCCGTCTCCTTATTACCAATATGTCTCTCCGCCATTACACTCAACACAGACAAAGAAAAGACAATTTTGAAGAAACATAAAACAAAACTGGCTACCTATCGGTAAAAAAAAGACAGAAATGGAAGTGCAAGAACTATCTAAATATTTTAAAGTTGTGGTTGTGGTCAGTAACAGGGCTGTTTAAATTTTATGACCTTTGAGATGTATTTTAACCGTTTTCCTGATGCACCTTTATTTTATTTGCATATCTATCCTCCAAACAGTTGTCCTGGTCATGGGGTGGGGGGGTGGTGCTGGAGTCTATCCCAGGCAGCATAAGGCACAAGGTGAGAGTGCTTCCTGGATGGGGTGCCAGTCCGTCGCGGGGCACACACAGTAACGCACTATCTACATTTTATAGATAACAGTTCACTGGCATGTCTTTGGACTGCGGGAGGAAACCCATGTGACGCGGAAAGATCATGAGGAAACTGTGTTAACCACTGAACCACCATTCACAGTCTTTAAGCAAAAGGCTTATGCTGTATGCTGTCTGGTCTGGGCCAGGATCCAGGGTGCCCATGTGACCCTAAACAGGATAAGCTGTGTGTGTGTGTGTGTGTTGATGTATGTATATGTATGTATGCATGTGCGTGTGTGTGTATATATACACTCACCTAAAGGATTATTAGGAACACCTGTTCAATTTCTCATTAATGCAATTATCTAATCAACCAATCATATGGCAGTTTCTTCAATGCATTTAGGGGTGTGGTCCTGGTCAAGACAATCTCCTGAACTCCAAACTGAATGTCAGAATGGG